GCGCAGCGGACCTCAACTGGTGAATTGCAGCCAAAGTCCTGGCAGCCATCTTGGTAACACCCCTTGGCAGTTATTTCTTTTATGCAGTTAATTAGCAGTTTACCAACAATGTACAATACAAGTGCAGACCAAAATTTCTGAAAGTGTTTAAGATTACATTTAAAATATATTTCAAATCAGAAATAAAATCAGACAACAGTTACAAAAATCCAGGCAATGTGTATGTGTGTTCTGGATGGATGGATGGATAGATAGATAGTGGTTGTGACCTCAAAATGGGTTGCATACATCTAAAACCAAATAATAAAATGCAGCTAATCATGTATGGAATTCATGCAAATAAGCTTGCATAGCAAAATAAATAGGCTTATCAACATAAAAAGGGAGAAAAAGCTTCTAGTATAATTTATTGTAAAAGAAGAAACTGTATGGTATTTTGGTGCAAATTCATCTGTCACTTGGTAACATGATTAATATTAAGAAAATATTTGGCCCAGTGTTTATTCCATGCATTAGGCTGGCAAATGAGTTGTAAATTACTCAGTCTATATCATGTTAACATTTTTGCATATTGTTGAGCCTTCTTCAGTCATTTGAATAAATTAAAAATATTCAGAGTCAATTTTGTACAATAACAATTTTAGTTCTCTGTTGGCTGCCATTAGTTATCCAATATAAAATCTGTAAAGGAGCTGAAGCTGTTGAGAAGCACTGATCTAACATGCGCTTTTCTCTCTTAATGACTGCAAAACCTTTAATATGAAAATCAAATAATATCCACTACTGGCATAATAACCAAATTAACCTGATAAATCACACTCAAGACATAAAAAAACGTGCTATATATCATTAAGTTCTATTTTTAGGCATTAAAAAGCTTTAAAGAAAATCTATTTGTATAAAGACACTGCAGACAGTAAATTTTTCATGGATATCTTGGTATGGGAATCCTGGTAGTCTAATACAGGGTTTCTTCCTTCTCTGTAGGGGGTTGAGGGGGAGGCTGTTTTTCTGTCTCTCTTCATGATCTGATTCCCAACAAAGAGCCGATTAAGGACCTCTCTCTCTCTCTGCTCAACATTCCCTGGCTAACACAGATGATGTCACAAACCCGATGCGGTCCCCACGACTCAACAATAACAAGGTCATCTGGGAGGGGTGGGGTGGATGTGAGGGGTGTTGCGGGGGGGGGGAAGAGAAGGAGGTGGTGGTGCTCTTTGTTTCACATTTCATCTGCAGTGAATTTTTTTTCATCAACCACCCCACCAGCACACCCCCACCTCAGCTTAACCCCCCTCCCGTTCTTCTCCACCGTCACTTGCCTCTTGAGACATATAGGGGGCGATGTTCAGCAAACCCTGAATGCTGAGCTGAAATCCCTGGATGCTGCTGCATATGTGTGCGAACACAGAGCATAAGTCTACACACAGCAGTTACACCGCCTGAGTCTTTCAAGAGCTGCAGGCTTTGAATCAACATGACAAAACAAATCATTCATCATATTACAAAACAACACGGAAGGTTCTGTAACTGAAATATGAAATGCGCCTCATTTTTCTGTGCTATTGAAAAAAAAGCATTAAAGATTTTTTTATTAAAATATCCAAAAACCACTAGAACAGTGTTATATATTTTACTGACTTGTGAACTTACATGATCCCAAATGTTTCGAAGAATGTTTAAATCCAGAGAAATAAGCCCTTTTTTAAACTAGTGACACGGACCGTGTCCATAGTGTCATTGTGTCGCCTGCCAATGACGTCATAACCCCTCGATTTCCGGTTTAGTTTTGTAGAAAACATGGAAACACCAAAGACGCTTTAATATGTTGTGCATTTTAATAGACCGGTGACGACCGCACAGAGTAGCATTATTACAGAACTTTCAAATGTATCTAGTATGATAAAACAGCGCTGCTTTACCTCACATACGCACGACCGGAAGGAGCGGAAGCGGTCGACTGTGGCATATTAAAAGCTCCGCTGCTTTCGAGCCGTGTGTCGTGCTCGTTCAGTGGCCTCGTTTCGCTTCGACGGCTTTCAGCCTCACCCTGCTTCATACTATGACATTAATAAATCATTAGCTCATCCATGAACATGATTTCTACCCGAGTCCCGTCGGATTGCGTCGGCTGTGGGGATGAAGACGACAACTCCCATGATTCCACACTCAGTCACGGCATCATCTAACTATGCCTTTGTTTCTTTGTTTGTTTTGAATACGCGCCCTCTAGCGGCGAAAATGACATAATGTACCTTTAAATGAAACTTATCTGGAATATGCGTGACATTTACCGCTATTAATAGTAAGAGACAGTAACACATTTTCTGTCACATCTGAGGTGAAGATAGGTGTTTTATCAAATCCTCTTTGAAAGTTGTAATTCCCTCCTCGTTCACACTCACACCAGACTATCAGAGTGAAAGACTGATGAATAATTGATGAAGGAGGCAAGATGTGAATGAAGGAAGCGTTCCATTTTGTTGGAAGTCTTTACAACTCTTTTAAATCATATTAAATCACAATTCTGCACAGACAAACCTGTTAACATATCGCTTCCTTATTTTTAACATTCCTCAATGACAGAAAGGCAATGCCAACACTCTTCGACTGGCATAGTATGGGTAATAAATACATACTTCTCAACAATAGCCAGTGTATATTCTATTATAGTACTTATTAATATTTTAAATTAGCATCTGTTTTATATTTTCAGTCTTCATTTCGATGTTAAAGCTTTAATAATTTTGTTATGTGCGGTTGTCACTTTTATTATTTTCAAAAAATATTTTGATATAGCTTTAAATGTATTTTAATTTCTGTTTTAGTAATTTTAGCACTTCAACTTATTTATTTCAGTTTCATCGCAAAATTTCTAAAACTAATTTCAGTTTTAAGTTTAGTTTTTAATTTCATATGCATGTTTCATTTCAGCTGTATTTCAATTAAACATATTTTAATTGTTAACAATAACATCACTGGTCATATATCCCACTTCCCATGCGTTACAAGTGTCCCACTTGAAGATGTGCATGTGCGTGCTCACAAGATAGTGAATGTATGAGCGGAGGTGTGAATACATGACTGGAGGTGTTCTTATGCCACATTAACACCTCTGTGGAAAACTCAATCACTCCAGAGCCCGGAAAGCAGGGGTGTGTTTATGTGCATTTCTGTGATAATGTGTACGGCAACCACAAAATCTTAGCATGCCCTTAGACCACGATTTTAATTGTTCAGTTCCATTGAAACTCACATCATAATCATACTTTAACACACCTAGAGGAAGAGAGCAGAAGCCTTTGTTTCGGTAGTATTTTTCTCATTCATTTGTCCCATAGGGTTTTTAAAAAAGTCTCTGTGAAATTATTATAAGTCAAGAACCAAACCAATCAGCAATAAGATCAATCACAACATTACAAACTTTGATTTAAAGCACAAATGTATTCAAAAATTTAATGAGGTTAAAAACTATAATCCCACTATAATATAATGATAACTAAATTAAAAATAATTAATTTATTTAAAAAAATAATAATAACATATTGATTTGAAGGTAGCAATCATATAAAATGAAACCATGTAATTTCCGTCTATTGCAATATGCTTACAAAGACCATAGGGAAATTCACAGTGTTTTATGGGAGTTGGCAGATGCTAAAGTGTTCTTCTGGCATGATTTGACTGCTTTAATTCTTATTGGTGGAGATTTCAGCACAGAACCATGGGAAATTTAGTTTTTCACCAGCAATTTCCTCTGCTGAAGATGATTAAATAAAAAATACATTGAAACAATGTGGACGGGCGGCTTCATCAACCTCGTAGGCCATAGTACATAGTATAGGTCTGTTAATTTATTGTTAAAAATCTATTTCCCTATGCTAATTTTATTTTATTTTTTACTTCCAGAACCCAACTGTTGCCCTATATAATATTCAATTCTCTAATCCATTCATGTGCTAAAATAACAAGTAATAATGCTTGTCACTTCAGACAATTTTCAAATCTGAAATTGTCACAACTAAGTCTTGTTTAAGTATTAGGGAAAAAAAATCTTTATAGTTTTGCTTTGTTTACTAATAGCTGAGTGTATTGCTTGCTATATGCTTACTAGCTTGCCAGCTTTACTTTCATTGAAATCTCTGCCTTGTTTTTGTTCAGTTGATATGAACTTAAACATGTCATTAAAACACTAAATTGCTACTTGACAGTCTAAAAGGAGGAAATGAATCAAGTACGTCTCATTAAAATCACACTATGTTCTTACTCAGCTACGTAATAGAAACCATAATAAATACATCCATTTGTTATGCTAATGCTTTGCTTTCGAGAAACTTTGCATCTTAATTTTAGATCCATGAGCCGAAGAGCAGAGATGGAGGGTTAATGCAACAGATGCTAGTTCATTAAATGTGCATTTTGGGGCTGTGAGAGAAGACAAACTACTGCTCATGTAGGTGTATGAGTGTGTGTTAGAGAGACACGGTTTTGCTCAAAAAGATGAGTAAAATAATGGCCGCTGCCATATGCTAGGTAGACAGGTGATGAGGGGTGATTATAGTCATGCTTTACTGTACATCATGACATTAGTATACTGGAAAAGTGATGCATGAAAAACCATGTCAGGAATTTTTTACTAGCGATACTTTCAAATGCTATGTTGTGAGGCCCACCTAAAACATACAATATTATTTAAAAGTTTGGGGTCTGTAAGATTTTAAAATGTTTTTGTAATGTATTTTGAAAGAAGTCTAATTGACTTTATTAAAAATACAGTAAAATTACAGTAAAACAGTAACATTGTAAAATAACTTAACTACACTATACATTTCTTTGTCACTTTTGATCAATTTACAGCATCCTTGCTAAATAAAAATATTGCTTAAAAAATATAACTGACCCAAAACTTTTGAATGGTAGTGTATTCACCAGTGACCTGGCAACCTCTCAGTAATTTATTGGACCATTAATGTGCATGATAAAAATGTGTTTATCCATACCTCCTCTGGCATGCTGAGAACCAGTTCATTGTCACTTTGGGTGATGAACCCCTGTAGGAAGTACTCGCTGCAGGCTGCTAGGACAGCCCTGTGCGCGCGGAACTCCTTCCCCTCCACCAGCACGGTCACATCACAGAGCAGGCCCTGCTTCCGCTGCTCATTCAGACCCAGCAGGATGTTGGTACAGTGCACCGTCGACTCATACACGTACATGGGAGCTTCAGACTTCTCATCCACGGACATACCGCTCACACCCTGCGCAGAAACAGACAGACAGACAGACATAGACGGGTCAACTTATGTCATCCAGGTGACAGCAGAAGTACAACACAAACCTGGTCCAAAATGAACTCTCTAAACCCCAAATGAAAGCACAGTTGAGTTTGGAGAGGAAATACAATGAGCTAGAGAGGAAAGGAGTTACAGGACAACTGCAAAATGGTTGAAATAGCAAGAACAATCATTTGATCTGATATAAGTCATTTAAGCCAATAAAATCAAAGACAGGTGTGCTCCTGAAGTACTCTACTAACAATGGAAGTGCTTGTGTTTCCATTGCAAACACCTCTCTGATCTTGCTTGTAAGTCACAATCTGTGCATCTACTAACAATCTCAGATTCTTTTTTTTTTACCCTAATGAGGTCTTATTACAGAAACGTCCTGTTTTAAGTCTTAAGTTAAGAATAGACTGTATTATGATCCTAAATGATATCGCAATCTAGATGGGACAAGGAGTAAAGTGGCGACACGTGTGATTTATAAAATAAAATGAGACTACAATATGGTATGCTGTGAATAATACATTGTACTAATAATATAATGACCTGCTGTTTTGCACAAACATGCAAATCATTTAATTGTGTATGTGTATATATATATATGCATCTCTCGCTCTCTCTCTCACACACACACACACAATATATTTTAACAATATCGTTTTTTAGTACAATTATGCAAATTGTATGGGTGGTATATTTTTGAATTTATAGGAACTTTTATTTACATTATTAAAAATATAT